TCTCTTTGAAATGATGTATAATAATTGTTGGGTTGGATTGGAAAAATATTAAGAAAAAAAATGTTGAAAGAAAGCTTGCATTTTCGTATGATTTAAAAGTGTTAAAAAAGATGCAAATTTAAAAATTGCTGGAAGCCGTATTTATTGAAATTAAGGAATGAGACTTGTTTTAAATTAAAGCTTAATGTTTTCTCTTTAAAATGATGTATAATAAATGTTGGGTTGGATTGGAAAAATATTGAGAAAAAAAATGTTGAAATAAAACTTACATTTTCGTATAACCTAAAAGTGTCAAAAAAGATACGAAAAATAAAATCCATTTCTTGGAGTATGAATATGAAAATGTCCCAAAATGTTATTAAAAGTGTCCTCTTTCCAATGAACCAACCCGTTTTGAAAAATAACTTTTAGTTTTTGAGAAAACAATGTTTGAAGTGCTGATAAAATTTTCGATATTGCCAAAAATTGAAGAATTTAGAAAATGAATCTTGACTTTAATTATTTTAGTTAAGATATGCATCTTATATCATAACGTATCTCAAATCTTGAACTAATTTACTTTAAAATGCTTCTCATATCATGGTAATATCTCAATTAGTTTTTAAGATACGATTTTTTTCGTTTCAATCAAAAATATTACTTAATTTATTTAATCCAAAAAACGACATCGTTGCGATTAAAAATTTTTATCTCAAAAACTAAAAGATATTTTCAAAATCGGGTTTATTCATTGAAAAGGTGACACTTGACTCTATAATTTTTGAAAATTGTGTTGCGATATCTTAAACGCTCGATTTTTGGCGATTTTTTAAAAATTGAGGTGTCTAATTTTGTTATGAAGAATCGGCTCAATGTAAAAATGCTTTATCTCAGGAAGTAAACGATATTTTCAAAAACGGTTTTTTTCGTTAAAAAGGTTATGATTTTGGGTAAAAGTGGTGATAATGTCGTTTTGATTCACTAAAAATTCGATTTTATACGATTTTTTTAAAATAACCCTAACTAATTTTTCCTCTAAAAAATGAAAAACGACATAAAAATATTTATCTCAAAAACTAAAAGATATTTTTCAAATCGGGTTAGTTCATTGGAAAGAGGACAATTTTATTAACACTTTAGGAAATTTTTATACTCCTATTCGAAGAAGTCGATTTTATACGAATTTTTAAAACTTAATCGGCGAAAATGGCAAAATTTGAAGCATCATTTCAAAAATTTATTTCTCAAAAACTAAAAGCGATTTTTCAAAACGGCTTGTTGCATTAAAAAGAGCACACTTTATTTAATAATTGGTGATATTTCCACAATTAAAGCTCAAAGCTTTCTCTTTAAAATGATGTATAATAATTGTTGGGTTGGATTGGAAAAATATCGAGAAAAAAAATGTTGAAACAAAACTTATATTTTCGTATAACCTAAAAGTGTCAAAAAAGGTGCTAATTTAAAAATTCCTGGAAGCCGTATTTATTGAAATTAAAGAATGAGACTTATTCGAAATTAAAGCTCAAAGCTTTCTCTTAGAAATGATGTATAATAATTGTTGGGTTGGATTGGAAAAATATTGAGAAAAAAAATGTTGAAATTAAACTTACATTTTCGTATAACCTAAAAGTGTCAAAAAACATGCTAATTTAAAAATTCCTGGAAGCCGTATTTATTGAAATTAAGAAATGAGACTTATTCTAAATTAAAGATCAAAGCTTTCTCTTTAAAGTGATGTATAATAATCGTTGGGTTGAATGGGAAAAATATTGAGAAAAAAAATGTTGAAGTAAAACTTACATTTTCGTATAACCTAAAAGTGTCAAAAAAGATGCTAATTTAAAAATTCCTGGAAGCCGTATTTATTGAAATTAAGGAATGAGACTTATTCTAAATTAAAGCTCAATGTTTTCTCTTTAAAGGGAGTGTTTAAAACTACCGATACTTTAAAGTACCGTCGGGACACAAAGGGTTAAACAAAATCTGTGCCGCAGATTCAAGTTATGAACATCCATCCTGAACGTAATTTTACGTCTCAGATAAGGCGGATTTTTTTTCCGGATGTAATAAGACCGTAGATGAAAGACAAGTAGTGAACCAGAACCTTCTGTTGCATATTCAACCAGTCACTAGATAACAAAGTTTCGAAGATTATATATAAAGGTGCATTTAAACCAAACGAACAAAGAGCTAGAGCTAGAACAAGAGCATTCTTTCTTGATCTTTTAGTGTAAACGAAAGCGCGTTTTTAGCGTTTACACCAAAATATCAACGAGCAAAAATGAGAATCAAGAATTAGAATTCTTGCACATAGATNGCTAATTTAAAAATTCCTGGAAGCCGTGTTTATTGAAATTAAAGAATGAGACTTATTCTAAATTAAAGATGAAAACTTTCTCTTTAAAGTGATGTATAATAAATAATAATCGTTGGGTTGAATGGGAAAAATATTGAGAAATGAGATGTTGAAATAAAACTTACATTTTCGTACAACCTAAAAGTGTCAAAAAAGATGGTAGTTTAAAAATTCCTGGAAGCCGTATTTATTGAAATTATGGAATGGGACTTATTCTAAATTAAAGCTCAAAGCTTTCTCTTTAAAATGATGTATAATAATTGTTGGGTTGGATTGGAAAAATATCGAGAAAAAAAATGTTGAAACAAAACTTACNTTCGCACGCTCTAGTGTCGTTTACATCAAGCGATCGAACATTCTTAGAATATTCCCTAGAATCTTTGAGAACACAGACAGAACAACGAAAGAATGCTCTACATCTGTTTACACTAAAAGAATATGATAGAGTGGGGATAGAATGAACATTCGCTCGTCTGATGTAAATCGGCCCTAAAACGAAGACACGAATTCTGCACAACCTGAATCCTCTTTAAGCTCTCCTGGGGGTAAACATAAACCAAATACAACATCACAATAATTAAAGTGAGACAATACAAGAGAATCACAAAGGAGTCGTTTCGAACCTTGTAATAAAAACATCTTACTACAGTAGAGCCTTCTTAGCTTTTATTTAAAAAAATTTCCAAAATTTTTGTTATCTCACCAAATGGCGATAAGCGTTGATATAAAAAGTGATATTTTTGAGGTTATCTCAATAATTATTGGTTGAATCAAAAAATGTTTCAAACAACATTTGTTTAGAACTAAACCAGCAATGACTTTTATTAGAAAAATTTTCCAAAATTTTCGTTATCTCACCAAATGGCGATAAACGTTGATATAAAAAGTGATATTTTTGAGGTTATCTCAATAGTTATTGGTTGAATCAAAAAATGTTTCAAACAACATTTGTTCAAAATTAGACCAGCAACAGCTTTTATTTGAAAAATTTTCAAAAATTTTCGTTATCTCACCAAATGGCGATAAGCGTTGACATAAGAAGTGACATTTTGGAGGTTATCTCAATAACTATTGGTTGAATCAAAAAATGTTTCGAACAACATTTGTTTAAAATTAAACCAGCAACAACTTTTGTTAGAAAAATTTTCCAAAATTTTCGTTATCTCACCAAATGGCGATAAAAGTTGACATAAAAAGTAATATTTTTGAGGTTATCTCAATAATTATTGGTTGAATCAAAAAATGTTTCAAGCAACAATTGTTTAGAACTAAACCAGCAACGACTTTTATTAGAAAAATTTTCCAAAATTTTCGTTATCTCACCAAATGGCGATAAACGTTGATATAAAAAGTGATATTTTTGAGGTTATCTCAATAATTATTGGTTGAATCAAAAAATGTTTCAAACAACATTTGTTTAGAACTAAACCAGCAACGACTTTTATTAGAAAAATTTTCCAAAATTTTCGTTATCTCACCAAATGGCGATAAACGTTGATATAAAAAGTGATATTTTTGAGGTTATCTCAATAATTGTTGGTTGAATCAAAAAATGTTTCATACAACATTTGTTTAGAACTAAACCAGCAACGACTCTTATTAGAAAAATTTTCCAAAATTTTCGTTATTTCACCAAATGGCGATTAACGTTAACATAAAAAGTGATATTTTTGAGGTTATCTCAATAATTATTGATTGAATCAAAAAATGTTTCAAACAACATTTGTTTAGAACTAAACCAGCAACAACTTTTATTAGAAAAATTTTCCAAAATTTTCGTTATCTCACCAAATGGCGATAAAAGTTGACATAAAAAGTAATATTTTTGAGGTTATCTCAATAATTATTGGTTGAATCAAAAAATGTTTCAAACAACATTTGTTTAGAACTAAACCAGCAACGACTTTTATTAGAAAAATTTTCCAAAATTTTCGTTATCTCACCAAATGACGATAAAAGTTGACATAAAAAGTGATATTTTTGATGTTATCTCATTAATTATTGGTTGAATCAAAAAATGTTTCAAACAACACTTGTTTAGAACTAAACCAGCAATGACTTTTATTAGAAAAATTTTCCAAAATTTTCGTTATCTCACCAAATGGCGATTAGCTTTAACATAAAAAGTGATATTTTTGATGTTATCTCAATAATTATTGGTTGAATTAAAAAATTTTTCAAACAATATTTCTTTAGAATTAGACCAGCAACAACTTTTATTTGAAAAATTTTCCAAATTTTTTTAAACACCATTTTTATCGTTAGGTGTACATCAAAAAAATCTTCGAGTGTACTTTTTAGTTTACGTCAAATTTTTTTGTTATTATCGATAAGAAACGAATCAATAAACCCCGATTGTTTAAAATAAACGATTTAAAATTGATTTTGAACTAAAAATATTCGTTTAAAGCGCTTTAAATTGATTCCAATTGAATTTTATTACACCTATTTCATTCGAACAATCGTTTCTGTTATCCATTTCTTTTCTTAATTTGGTAATAACTCCGTTAATGTTACGATTTAATTTGCAAAATTTTCGCTTTGTTTTAATCGGAATCAAATTAATTATTTCTCTTTGTTACAACAAAATCTGAATTGGATCTAAAAATAATCGATTTTCGCTTTCGCTATTTGGAACGTATTATTTACAACTGTCAACTGTCATTACGTAAAAGTATTACGTCAAAAAAGACGTTCTTCTCGCGGCGTTCAGTTTAATTCGGTAATTTCGAAAGGACAGGTGTTTAAACGAAGAATAAGAGTTTAAGGAACCCGGAAAGATGTTGTCGCTGTATAGAACGGGGCTTATCTGCAATTTACAAAGGTTAGCGTAAATAATCGCCTCTACTTGACACTTTATCGTTTTCTTGATAAGAATTTTTTCTTTTTCCCCACTTTGTGTTTACTTTAAAGTTTCCGAGACTACTTAAATGTTTATTTACACTCGTATTATCACGGGGTTATCAAGTTCAATTCAAATTGGCCGATTTAAATTAATTCGTACCCAAACGGAAATTTCCACGATTACGAATCGATAGTTTCTCTTTTATTGTTAGATTGCGGTTTAATTTGTCCCAAATATGACACCTCCGGGTGTTTGAAAAGACCTTGATCCTTTTCTGTCACCTACAATTTTTGGTTTTGATCCAAAATGATTGCATTTCGATGTTATGTAACGTTGCGTGCAAGTTATTTTGATTTAATAATTTTAATTTAGAATGGGTGCGAGATGTCTATCGGCTTCGGTCGTACCAGAATTGAAAGTTGACGATTTTGGGGTGAAAAACGAACCCGTTTTGGGGTATTTAAAAGGATCGAAAGAACGCGCGGAATTAGAACAAGCCCTTAAAGAGACCGCCTCGAAAACTGAAGATGTCCCCATTGTTATTGGAAATGAAGAAATTCGTACTAACGAAGTCCGATATCAGGTTAAAAAGTTTGATTTTTAAAAAAATTTGACGTTTAAAACAATTTGACGTTTAAAACAATTTGACGTTTAACATAACCTAAAAAAAAATTTTTTTTGAAACGTCATTTTTTTATTTTTAGGTTATGTCGCATAATCACAAAGAAAATTTTACGTTTAAAATAATTTGACGTTTATTTTAACCTAAAAAAAAGAAAATTTTATTGCAATTTTAATGTAATTTTTTAATTTTTAGGTTATGCCTCATAATCATAAACAAAAATTGGCGAAATTTTATTACGCCGATGCGAAATTGATAAATAAAGCGATCGATGTGGCGGTTGAGACGCAAAGGAAATGGGATAAAGTGCCGATTCCGGAACGATTGAGGATTTGGGAGAAAGCGGCGAGTATGATGGCCGGGGAGTATCGGCAAAAATTGAACACTGCGACCATGTTGGGGCAGGCTAAAACTATAATTCAGGCGGAAATCGATTCGGCGGCCGAATTGATCGACTTTTTCCGCTTAAATAGCTACTTTTTGAAAGAGGCCACGAAATATCAACCAATCTCAGAGAATCCGAAGGTCACTAAAAACACAATGAGGTAATTAAGTTTAATAAATCAAGTTGTTTATTGTATTTAGTGCAGTTACAAACCTTTTCTACATAACCTTAACTTCTTTTTTTATGTTGCTCTCTTCTCATTGTTAGATGGCGCTACTTAGATTCTCTTGGTTTCTCGAATCTTCACATCTTGTTGTTTTGTGTTAAGTTTTTCCTTTCTGATATTTCCACGTCTATATGTCTTTCTTCTTTTCTGGAATTAAATATTTGTTGATTTTCTTTATCATTTCTTCTTGTCTTTCCTTTATATTCATTCTAAATCAGGTCTTAATTAGACTGTTATACATCAAGGTCTATAGAACATAAGGTTACCCAATACCGATTCTCCTCCTCTGAGAGGCAAGGTGGGTCAGTGACGTAGCTGGTTCTATGAACAACACAACACGATGCGAGGTTTAAATATTTTATATAGACTGTACCACAGTATAGGCACATATAGGCTTTCTTTTATTCTGACTGTATCGAACCAGTGACGTCAATTTGCGGGGTAATAATCGATACTACAGAGGCATAGGAAATGAGGTAACCTTATGTTCTATAAACCTTGGTTATACATCACTTGACAAAGCGACATTTTATATGTAGGTAAAGATGTAACTTATCTTGGAAAAAATTCAAAATACCGGGTTTAGTCGTGAAAAAACTTTCAGTTGTGTATGTCAACTTTTAATTTTGACATATTCGTCAACTTCGTAAAAAATCCTTTAAAATGAGTCCAAACTCGACGTATTTAACTTTGATATTAATGGAGATACAATCACTTCCGGTTTGAAACGTCAACGTCAATTTTGACATATTTGTCATCTTCATTAAAAAACCTTTAAAATGAGTCCAAACATGACGCACTTATCTCAAAAAACAAAAAAGTTAGAATAAAAAACATTAAACCCGAAGTTAGCAATTTAATTTTTAAATATTAATACCAACCTTAATTTTTCTTTTTTTTTATTATATTTTTGTTTTTGTGACAAATATTAAGACATTTTATAAAAATTAAGAATATGTCAAAATGACATTGACATTTCAAACCGGAAGTTAATTATATCTCGAATAATATTGGAATTAAACGTATCATGTTTGGACTCATTTTAAAGGATTTTTCACGACGATTACGAATATGTCAAAATTGACGTTGACATTTTAACCGGAAGTTGGCCATAACTTCATTAATATTGAAGATAAATATGTCGTGTTTGTACTTATTTTAAAGGATTTTTAATAAAGATTACAAATATGTTAATTGAGGTTGACACTTTAAACCTGAAGATAGTTATCATATAATAGAAATTTTATAACTGAAATTAATTTAGTGTTAGTCACTTTTCCGCACTTTCTTTTTATTATTATATTCGTAATCGTCATAAAATAACCTTTAAAGTGAGTCCAAACTTGACATATTTATCTCAAAAAACTAAAAAGTTTGAACTTTCAACTTTTAATTTTGACATATCTGTCAACTTCATAAAAAATCCTTTAAAATGAGTCCAAACAAGACATATTTAACTTTGATATTAATGGAGATACAATCACTTCCGGTTTGAAACATCAACGCCAATTTTGACATATTCGTCATCTTCATTAAAAAACCTTTAAAATGAGTCCAAACATGACGTACTTATCTCAAAAAACAAAAAAAGTTAGAATAAACAACATTAAACCCAAAGTTGGCAACAATGAAGATAGCAATTTAATTTTTAAATATTAATACCAACCTTAATTTTTGATTTTTTTTTGTTATATTTTAGTTTTTGTGACAAATATTAAGACATTTTATAAAAATTAAGAATATGTCAAAATGACATTGACATTTCAAACCGGAAGTTGCTTATATCTCGAGTAATATTGGAATTAAACTTATCATGTTTCGGCTCATTTTAAAGGATTTTTCACGACGATTACAAATATATCAAAATTGAGGTTGACATTTCTAACCGGAAGTTGACCATAACTTTATTAATATTGATTATAAATATGTCGTGTTTGTACTCATTTTAAAGGATTTTTAATGCAGATTACAAATATGTCAAAATCGAGGTTGACATTTTAAACCTGAAGTTAGTTATCATATAATAGAGAAATGGACAACTTCATGATGTTCTTTCATGATGTATTCTTTATTAAAAAAACCTTTAAAATGAGTCCAAACAAGACGCACTTATCTCAAAAACCAAAAAAGTTAGAATAAAAAACATTAAACCTGAAGTTGGCAATTTAATTTTTAAATATTAATACCAACCTTAATTTTTCTTTTTCTTTATTATATTTTTGTTTTTGTGACAAATATTAAGACATTTTATAAAAATTAAGAATATGTCAAAATGACATTGACATTTCAAACCGGAAGTTGCTTATATCTCGAGTAATATTGGAATTAAACGTATCATGTTTGGGACTCATTTTAAAGGATTTTTCACGACGATTACAAATATGTCAAAATTGACGTTGACATTTTAACCGGAAGTTGGCCATAACTTCATTAATATTGAAGATAAATATGTCGTGTTTGTACTCATTTTAAAGGATTTTTAATGAAGATTACAAATATGTCAAAATTGAGGTTGACATTTTAAACCTGAAGTTAGTTATCATATAATAGAAGTTTTATAACTGGAGTTAATCTAGTGTTATTCACTTTTCAGCACTTTCTTTTCATTTTTAACGTGTATTTTGGGTCATTTCACATTGATTAAAAAAAGCCACATGATGATTCTTGAATTTTTCTCAAGTTTCTTAATATTTCTTCTGTTATAAAAGAGCGTTCTTAAATTTTAACCTGTAAACTTGTAACACTTCGCCCTTAATTTCTATAAACTACATCTAGTTTTTCTTGACATTAATCATTGAACTGGACTTCATCTTCTTGATAAGTGATATTGGACTTAAGTCTTTTAGAAAATATATTTCGAAGTAGTGAGAATAGTGATTTACTATTACTAACACTTTTAATGATATTTGTTGATACTTAACAAAACAATATGAAAAGGGTATTTTGGAATTTGATGCGACATCATTGGTAATTTCTATTGAGATCTTGAATGTTTTCCACAAGCTTCACATTTTCTTACTGTATTTATTGGAGATTGAGTCATAGCAGGCCAAAAAACTAAGCCAATATTATATCTTTGTAGTATCATTAACATTAACAGGTAGTTTTTGTAGGTACTTTTAACAGTGGATTTTTCAAGATGTTAGATTAATGGCTTATGATCGCTTAAGAATCGCTCATTCCTATACAGGTGTTTCTAAATTGATGCGAAAGGAGGTCTTTCATATAACTTTTTCTTCAAAATCCCTTCCCCCTTGTTTTTATTTAATGAATCCACTATGGAGGAATTTAGAAAAATGAAATTTAGCAGATAACTGTTGCCAATAAAAGGCCACCTTTTGACGATTTTTATAACCCGAAAATGTTATTACAAGAGGTTGAAAAATCAACCCCTATAGTACTTTACATCAGAACTTTTTAATGCGTCTACATTTTTCTATTTAAAAACTTGATTTAAATAGTGGGATTCAACACGCAACTTTTTTGTCTCTTGACATTTTCTCCTAAAATTGTTAGTTTGATCACAAAAAAATAAAATAATATACAGGTTCACGAGAATTAATTCAGAGATTGGTTATTATTAATCAAAGAAATGAAGTTATGTCTAATTGATCTCAGCATTATTTTATTTTTTGTGATCAAACTAACAATTTGTTAGTTGTAAAATGTCAAGAGATAAGAAAGTTGCAGATTTTTACGCTTAACTTTAGAGGGCTATAACTTGATCCTCCTTAATTTTCGTTGAAAAATCAGCCCTTAAAATCTTTCGCATCAATTTAGATACACCACGTACATCTGTACCTTAAGGGTGAAGGATCGTAACTCCAGTTTTTGTCAATATCGAGTTAATTATTATAAAACTTATTATAATAGTATTATGGAACTGTAAACCTTGTTTTCTAAAAAACCTAAAATAATGGAGATACAATCCTTTACCCCTAAGCTACAGATATATATTCATATTCCTTATCTCATATTTATATTTATTTACCTTTGTCTTGTTTGGATTCATGTTAAAGGTTTTTTTAATAAAGAATATATCATGAAAGAACACCATGAAGTTGTCCATTTATAATAATTAACTTCAGGTTTAAAATATCAACCTCAATTTTGACATATTTGTAATCTTCATTAAAAATCCTTTAAAATGAGTACAAACACGACATATTTATCTTTAATACTAATGAAGTTATGGTCAACTTCCGGTTAAGAATGTAAACGTCAATTTTGACATATTTGTATCTAATCGTTGTGAAAAATCCTTTAAAATGAGTCCAAACATGATACGTTTAATTCCAATGTTACTCGAGATATAAGCAACTTCCGGTTTGAAATGTCAATGTCATATTGACATATTCTTAATTTTTATAAAATGTCTTAATATTCGTCACAAAAATAAAAATATAATAAAAAAAAATAAAAAATTAAGGTTGGTATTAATATTTAAAAATTAAATTGCTATCTTCATTGTTGCTAACTTCGGGTTTAATGTTTTTTATTCTAACTTTTTTGTTTCTTGAGATAAGTGCGTCTTCTTTGGACTCATTTTAAAGGATTTTTAATGAAGATGACGAATATGTCAAAATTGACGTTGACGTTTCAAACCGGAAGTGATTGTATTTCCATTAATATTAAAGTTAAATATGTCGAGTTTGGACTCATTTTAAAGGATTTTTTATGAAGTTGACAAATATGTCAAAATTAAAAGTTGAAAGTTCGAAC